AGATAAATTCCTCAACAAATTTTTATTTGTAATTTTTGATATTTTTATTTATCATGTACTTTTAGATTTGATAGACCAAAATATTTATCGTTAAAATACTGTAAATTAACATGCTTTCATMTTTATTTCAACTTTTATCTTCATTAAAATTTACTACATATTTTGTTGTACGTTAAGAGGTACAGAATAGTTAATAAAATTAGTTGATACTTACTGGCTAATAGGCTCATTTTTTATTCTATATGAATAAGTATCTATTTAAAACTGTAAAATTTGACAACATCGTACTAAAATATAATTAATTTAACGTGTGGAATATTGTTACGAAAAGTTTCATCGATAAACACTGTTACCATAATATGCCATGTTAGATATTAGATATTGGTTTTTGGGTGCTAATTCCCCAGAACTGCAATAGCCACTCAATGAATTGCGTGCATATCCACGTAAAAATTAATCGGGATACGGGTAACTTTAATTTGAATAATACTAACTTCTCCAAAAATTCAATCAAATGCCCACTTATGCTCTACGCATGAACATATTTCACCTCAAATACAAATATTTTATGTTTGAATCTGTTCTTATACAATATTTATTAATCATATTTGAATACCTATCAACTATACAAATGATTATTGTGTATCGTTTTATTTGTTAGGGGTTTACCGTCTCGTTACTGTATTGTTTCTTTAACAATGAAGTTCAAAACACATTAAAATACCACATTACTAGATGGCAGACAAAACGGAAATTTCTTGCTTCGAGAAAAAAATATGGTCGATCTTGGATGTCGGTAAAACAAAACAATATAATATGGTACGTTTATTGATAAATTATTAAACTAAATAAATATTTGTCTTTTATCTATATAATAATTACATAGGTAGGTAATTAAAAGATTTTATATTGTTTGTCGATACAATCTATGTAGATTGTAGATGATATTTTACTAGATTGCCTACTTAGTTAAATATTATGCATTATTTGAATTTCCATATAAATATTTCAAATATTAACTGAAAACTATTAGAATATTTTTGTTTAAAAATAATTATTTAAATTTAAAATCTTTTATACCACAAAACAATATGTTATTACCATCATAAATACTGTTGCCATTATATTATGTATGTATCTCTACGAGTCAACTAATTCTCTTTAACTTAACAAGAGGCAACAAATCATATTACCAAGTGTTGAAGGGAGGTGTTATTTTAGTTAAAATTATGTTTCAGTAATTCTATATACATAAAGATTCTTCAGTAAAAAGTTTTAAACATATAAAAAATTACATTTAATTAGAATAATATAGAGTCATAATTGATTTAAAATTTTATGTTCAAAAAGTGATTTATATATTTGCCATAATTTCGCTCCTTCTTAAAAATCATACCGTTTAGTAACATTAAAACGTTTGGTAACAAACTCTTAAAAACCAACTAAATTTGTAAAAATCAAAATTTATGATAAGTTAATCGAAGATACAATTATGAATAAAATGTATTCTTACACTGACTTAAAAAAAAAATCAATTTTTATAAACTAATAAGACCTATTTTTTTTTCCTTTTTGAATGATGCAACATTTTATGAAAAATCCAACTTATTAAAATCAAATTTCAAAAGAGTAGTTAGTTGTAACAGTTATAAAATATAAATTTTGAATACCTATTTAATATTTTTATAGTGTTGCAGAGTGGCATTGATAACCACAAAATAATTTGTTCATCTATTAATTAAAAATAATAGCAAGAAAAATTTTTTTTTTAATTATGTAAGAAAAAGCTATTTCCAAATGCTATACCTTAGATTTCAATAGATAAAATTTCTCCAAACATTTGAAACTATGATTATTTTTTTTTTTTTTACTAACCAAAGTTACTTATTGTAACTATATAATCTTAATATTATAATGTCATAGCTACTGTGTTTAAGTGATGAAATTACAGGTTTTGACCAGAATAGCTATTTAAAACCAATCATCAATAATAATTATTGTTGTAGTAATAAATTTGAATTGAATACACAGTGATCATCAGCTGGACCCCAAAGAACTGATGCCATGGATACCAGCAAACAACGTTAGATCGTCTTCTTGCGTCAGCAATGGAACAACTACCTCCGCGTTGTCAAATATGAGACTGCCTCAGGATACATCTATTGAAATACCACTGGATCCAGAACAACAATCTCTGTATAAAGATAATAATAATAAAGTCGTTATATCGAGTTTAATTGTATAACATGATAAGCGCATACCTAGAATATATCAATATTATATATTATTTTATTTATGACACGTGTTATATTCACACTAGATATATAGATATATAAAATCTGTGATTACCTATAATGCGAGTAATATGTAAATATTGTTGTACCTAGTTAGTTTTTAGAATTAAAATTATTATTATTATTATTATTATTACTGCCACAGAGTGAAATATAATATATTAATAATGTAAAGTGTTTTAACACGTCGAGAAATGTTGATATTATTATATTCAAGTCCGTATTTTTTTTATTTTTTCATTATTTTTAATTTTGACTGCTATTTAGTTTCAATAAAATGTCGATATCCTATTTCTGAGTGAAGTAAAATCATTTTATTATTATTATATAACAGCTGTGTTTTTGTAAAATTCATATTATTTTTTTTACGATAATATTTTGTTAACTCGCCATGTATTTTAATGTGGTCCTCGATTCTGGATACTGCAAGGTATAAGTATATATATCATCATAAAAAGTTTTAATTAATTAATAGTTTAAGGCTACCTAACTATTTTTATATTAAAAATATATTGTGCTCATTTATTAATGAGTGAGTGTACGAGTATACACGAATATAAAAATAATTGTGACAAGGCCTAMATAATAATAGAATATAWTTTTCTTCTTTAACTACCCTAATAACACCCATGAACATAACTTTCGATGACAATGTGTATCAATGACCTTATGTGAGACCGTCYACCAACCACTATTACAACTATAATACAAAATATCATCTGAAAACGATATATTACGTAGATATGCTCTTTCATTATATACTTAAACTATTGTTTATTTGTTTTTATTTATTTTATGAAAACGATAACAGAATGGAGTGATAAATATATTGATWTATTCATTTTACAGTGATGTAAGTATTTTTTTCAGTATACACAATACGATACATAGCAGGAAGATATTTCAAACATCATCTGTCGGTATGATACTTGATTAACAATTAGATAWAACTGGTACTGTTAAAGAATTAAAATTTAAAAATTTCAGYAATTTTCAAAACAATCAGGAATAAACACAATAGGTAATGAAATTTTTTAAGCATAACTGGTTTTCAATTCTCTATTGTTATTTTTATGGTGTAATTCAACAGTAAATAACTGTAAACACTTGAAATTTTCACCACATTTTTATACAATCATTTTTTTACATGGTATTATTTTCTAACTATTTTCAATCTTTTTTTTCAGTTTTTTTTAGAAAATTACATTTTCAAAGAAACAATTTTTGCTTGGTCAAAAACTTTGAAAACTGAAACATTCTTTTATCCATTTTTCCTGTATCCATTTAAAATTATTAAAGATACGTACCTATAAACATAAATTTTTTCATAAGAATTTTAGATTCAAATTACGACCAACTAGTCAAATTCATGAAAGTTTGTAAATTATTTTGTGTAATGTTGAAAATCTATAATGATGTTCAAGTTGTATATAGCTAATGCTTAACATTTATTTTTAGTGATTTTAAATTCAAATTATGATAAAGTTAGTTATTTAAATAAATAATAATGACTTAAAAAATCTTGAGTAGTTGTAACATTTAATGTATATTAGCATAATTTATCCACACAATGTAATTTTCAAAACATTTAGATAAATGTTTTGCTATTGCCTATTCATAGTTTATAATGTATCAAAAATTATATAAACTTATAAAATATTYGCTACTGTTGTAGATTATAAAATAAATTACCACAATAATAACCAGCAATATACATATTATATTCTACATGATATTATGGCTGGCTGACCGTCTTCAATTAGAATCGTTTTTTGTATGCGTTAATGATTTATCATCGAATTAAAATTGTACACATCCATCACAGTGAGCCACTCAATGACGATCTAATTTTTACTTCTGCTTTAAGATAATGTATTACTCAACTTTTTTTAAGTGCATTCATAGATAAGTAAGTATTATCTAAAAAATTTTAGTTGTTTAAATGAAACAAGCAAATTAAATTACTTCAAAATAGCTATAAGCCTTTGTAAAATAACAGCCAGTATAGCTAGTGGCTAAAATTTTCTACTATATATTTCAATGTTTAACTATAGAGTTATTAATTTATAATATTATACTGAATTTTATATTACTCATTTTCGAATATGTGAACTCGGGCAAACTGCTTGGAAATCGATAATTGATTATTTCATATATTTTATAACTACGAAAACGATGAAAGTACCAACCTATAATAAATTTTGTTGTATTTAAATCTATGATTTGTATGCACCATTATAAACTGTGTTATGACTTATGAGCTTATAAGTTGTAATTCGTTTGATATCTATTTGATCTTTCATGAGATCAATTAACTATAATGATGTGATAACATAATTTTAGTTAATAGACAGTTAAAAACTTCTAATGCAATATTTTAAACGTAAGAATGTTGGGTTTAATTAATTTAAGGATTGTTAAAATAAGAAGAGTTGGTAGGTGCCTTTATTTTATTATTATTTTGTGTTATTGCTTATATTGGTAAGGGACAGTTAATACATTAACCACCCTTCCCATTATCTACTTTAAAATTCTATAGATAAATTATTAATCAACAATTCAAATATTGTTTCATCAAAATATCTTATTATATTTTTTTTCAATAAGCGAAAAAAATGTGAGACGATAATATTGACTCAGAAGAATTTTCTGGGAATACAAGTATATCAGCAGAACCCATCCTATCAGTTATTAGATGAAACTACAGTCTCTAGTTTGATGGAAATAATAATATACCTACTATAGTATAGTATACTATAATACTTATACTATACCCACTTT